CATTTTATTTTTTGACATAACAGGAAAATTGATAAACTTCCAGAGTTCAGAAAAAAAGATCCTACAGACCCTAGGATGTTAAAGGTGTAATAAGAGATCATTAGGAACAAATTCCTACCAATAAATTCAATAATATAAATAAAATGGGAAAGTTCCAAACTTTTAAGTCTCAACACTTAGGAATTAATTCACTTTTTAAATCTATTAATTAAATTTATACTTCACCACCTTCCAAAAAGAAAGGTCCAGACTTACATGGATCCAATTGTTAATTCTATAAAATAAAAAAGAAATACCTGGAGTGCCTAGGTGGCTTAGTCGGTTAAGGGTCTAACGTCAGCCTAGGTCATGATCTTGCCTTCCCAAGTTCGAGCCTGGAGTCAGGCTCTATGCTGACAGCTCAGAGGCTGGAGCCTGTTTCAGATTGTGTCTCCCTCTCTCTCTGCCCCCTTTCCCACTCATGCTCTGTCTCTCTCTCTCAAAAATAAACATTAAAAAAAATTTAAAGAAAGAAATAACTATTCTATGGGTGCCCACTAAAATATTAGAAGAAGAGGAACTATTTCCCAATTGATTTTATGAAGCCACTGTTAACCATGATAACAAAATCCAATGGGAATTATTTTTTTTTAAAAAGGAAACATGCGAAGTGATGGATGTGTTAAATAATTTGATGGGGGATTCTTTTACCATATATATAAATTAATCAGGTGTATATTCTAAATATCTTACAGCTTTATGTCAATTATACTTTAATAAAGCTGGAAAAATAAATTTTAAGACACAGTTAAATATCCATTATGAACATAAAAACAGAATTCTTTAAAACTCTAGCAAAATGAACTCAGGAAATATGGAAAAATAATATCCCATGACCAATTGTACAGTTCAGAGATTTTTGACAAATATGCAATTCTAGGAATTCAAGGTTAGTTTAACAGTACAATTAATGTAATTCAAATTATTAATCCATTTTTAAAAACCTTAATATTATTTCAATAGATTCAGATGTTTTGCCACAATACAACAGCTTGGTGATAATAAACAACAAACACAAAACATTAATTTGTGGCAAACTAGCCAACATTATGCTTAATGATGAAACATCAAATGTTTTCACCCAAGATCAAGGGAAAGTAAAGTCTACTCTCAATATTTCTACTCAACATGTTTTTGGAGGCCCTAGTGAAATAATAGAACAGAAAATGCACATAACTTGTAGATAGAAAGATGCAGAAAAACTGTCTTTATTCCTAGATGGCCTATTTCCAAGGAA